TTATATATATATATATAAACAAACAAACACACACACAGACACACACATATATACCCACAAACAAACACACATCCACAAACACACACACAAACACACACGCACTCAAACACACACACACACACACACACACACACACACACACGCACAAACACACGTACATCCACACACACGAACACACAAATCCACACAAACCCACACACACAGACACACACACACATCCACATACAGACTCACACATAAAACCACATGTACACACACACAAACCCACACACACACATCCACACACACATATACACACACATCCACACACACAAACACACACACACACACATCCACACACACAACCAGACACACACACACACACACACACGCACAAACACACACGCCAAGTATGTATACCTGATGAAAGTTGACAATCCCCGTCACCGCTTCATCTCCGGCATAATTTGGGTTGGGTTGCATGTAGCAAGTGCCGAAGAGAACTGGAGAATTGTGGGAGTTGTCGGATTCTGTCGAAACAGCTGTTTTTAAAAAAAGGGAGGATATTATTTAAAATCAAATTACTTTGTCAATTCAGTTCTTTTAGGTTTGAGTACTTGATAGACTGCTTGCACTCTATGCTTCCAGACTTTCCGAGGGGGCTCTCGTGGCCTAGAGGTTAAGGTGTTGGCCTCTCATTCAAAAGGTCCCGGGTTCGAATCCGGGTAGCGACCGAAACATTTTCTTCTCTAAATTTGTCTCCTTTCACCTCATTTCCTGCTCTCTAGCAAAGTTCTGTCGTCTGCTTTCGTCTCCTCTTCCTGCCCCGACCCCCTCACATTATTTGCCCCTTCCTCTGGGCTCCTGATTCTTTCTACAGCCTTTCTACTGCTACTCCTTCGCTTCTTCTTACTGCTGTCTTTCTGCCACACCCCTGATCTTCTGGTAGGAAAGATCTACACCTAGCCTTCTCGGACAAGGGCGAAAAATCTCGGAGGGCCCCTGTGCAAGTTGCGCATGTTAAAGATCCCTTGGTGGTCTAAAATCGATAAGAGCAGGCCTCGGCCGCCACCCGGGCAAAATTCATAATTTCCTACCAACTGAAAATATTAGGTGTGTCCCGCGCGCTCATATGACCTTAAGCAGTTGCGAGCGCCATAAAACACTTTACAAAAACAAACAGACTTTCCGAGAATATTTCTGAGTGTTCTAGGGTAAACTGGGGTCATAATATTGTTAAGAGCACATCATCATCATCATCATCATCATCATCATGATCCCCATCATCATAAATTACTATTATCATTGTTATAACTATTATCATCATTATTACCATTAATATAAAATAATAATAATAATAATAATAACAACAATAATAATATAACAATAATAATGATAAGAAGAAGAAGGAGAAGAAGGAGAAGAAGGAGAAGAAGGAGAAGGGGGAGAAGGAGGAGAAGGAGGAGAAGGAGGAGAAGGAGGAGAAGAAGGAGGAGAAGGAGGAGAAGAAGGAGGAGAAGGAGAAGGAGGAGAAGGAGGAGAAGGAGGAGAAGGAGGAGAGAAAGGAGGAGAAGGAGGAGAAGAAGGAGGAAAAGGAGGAGAAGGAGGAGAAGAAGGAGGAGAAGGAGGAGAAGGAGGAGAAGAAGGAGAAGAGGGAGAAGAATAATGATGATGATGATGATGATGATGATGTATATTTTATAGAGCTAATCGGTCAAGTAGGAAACGATAGACATATGCGGCCAGCCTGTAACACTAAACAAAAATAACTCTGTCATGACTATTTACCACTTTATTACTTCCCCTTGAGGTCCCAGAAAATAAAAGAGTCAGCAAATGATAAGCGAAATTTTTTTTTACTTACAATGAATCTGCCACTTTCTTTAGGATTAGGATAACTAAAAGCAAAACAACAGCAACCAAAAAAAAAAAAAAAAAAGGATGAAACGGGATTTCCTATAATTCTGACTTGAACACTGTGCTGCTCCCTGTCAGGAAAAATGTAGATCTTGAAACATTTTTCACCCCCCCCCCCCCCCCCGTTTTTTCTTAACCTGTAATATTTTTTTCACGTACTTGCTTTTCTCTATTGGTGTTAGAGAAAAAGTGACTTTTCCGACAATTTAACCCTAACATCAATCGGTTAGTACAATTTATTCACACAGAGAGCGTGGGGCATTTGTTATTTTACGTAACAACATTAAACACATAAACAATTTACAGTGTAGTCGTTACCATCCCTGTACTGTTAGCCTCGGTGGCCTAGTGGTTAGGCTCTCGGACTCACAACCGTAAGGTCGTGGGTTCGAATCCCGTCAGGAGCCCGACGTTGTGTCCTTGGGAAAGGCACTTTACACGAATTTTCCTCACTTCACCCAGGTGGGAATGGGTACCCGGCTATAGACAGCGAAAGATCTTGTCAGTTTGTTAGTGTTTGAGCGCTTAATCAGCTGCTTGCACTGTATGCTTCCCGGGAAGCTGAGAATGTTTCGGAGTGTTCTATGGTCTGCTGGGGTAATAATATAGTGTAAAGCGCATAGAGCCTGCTGCTGAGCGGGGATATGCGCTATACAAATGCTATCTATTATTATTATTATTATTAGCCTGAATCTACGGGTATCTCACCTGTGGAGGTATCATTGCTGCTGGAAGTATCGTTACCCGCTGTGTGATCTGCCGAATGGTCAGCAGTGCTGAAATGGGAGAAACTGGTTTAAAATAATGCACACACACACACACACACACACACACACACACACACACACACACACACACACACAAACACACACACAGACAAACATACGTACACATACATAACTAAAATCAGATTTGGGCAATACAGTACAGCTGTATTATTGTGAAGGAGTTGACATTTCTAAGACGGCCACCTATTGTCGAGGAGAAAAGTGGTTGTCTCAGAAAGGTTGATGTCAAGGAGAACGAATGTCATCATACCCCCCAAAAAACATAAGATGGATGTAGGAAGCCGTTGTTTGTACAGGTGATTTGTGTTTGTCTTGGAGAGGTCGCCGTTCGAACAGGCTCGACTGTACTTCCTTTTTTTCCTTGGAGGGAGGAGGGGGGAGGGAGGGAGGTCGTGCAATTTCAAAGAGGTAACCTTTTCATCTATATTGCTGGGGGAAAATGGGCTGCTCATATCGGTAAAATCAAAGATAACAGATGAACATCAAGATGCCATGAATGGAGACCAAGAACAGGAATGCGATGAAGGGGAAGACCAGAAAGAAGGTGGCAAGATCACACTAGATAGAAGGCGTGTACAACCTGGATACAAACAGCCTTGATACCGAAAACAGCAGATAGAACTGGATGGAGGATATTGTTGGAGGGCTATATCCTGCAGTGGACGGATAACGCTCAGAAAGAAAGTAAGAAATAATTATTAAAGGAACTTACCTTACAGCAAACCAGAGAGTAACCATCAGGACAATAGCATACTGCATCCCTGTCATACCCATGGTTGTCCAGACGTGATGAAAAACGCTTTAACAACACAATATTTGTAACAATATTGCTTCTGACTGACGTGTGACAAAGACTGTTTAAGTAAGTATTACAAGACAAACACTTAACACCACAAACGTTTCCGGACCACTCCCTTTTCACCCAGTTTTTAGTCGAAATGAGTCGGTGAACGTGGGAGGATTTGCGGTAAAACCTTTGTCAACACCAGAGCAGCGACCGCCCTTGTCACCTTGCTTCGATCCGCGAGTCTGCATTGCTTGTGATAAATATCTGAAGTATCGATTTCTTATCAGGCCTATTGTCGCGTACTTTTCTTTCTGTTATTTAAAAAATAAAAGATTTGGGATAGATGGTTTAACGTTTTCTTTCAAAGTCGTACAGAGGCGAACAACAAGTTCAGCCTTACACCAAAGATATCCTCAGAAAGTAATTGCAAATTACGTCATTAACCTGTGCTGTAAAAAATCAAAATATGTTCGTGGAGAAATTCGAATGGTTCCAACTTCCGCTTCCTTTTATTCTTTTTTTTATTCTATATCTGTGCTTCCTGTGGGGTGTAAGTCAACCTTGATTGATACCATGTTCAGATTAGCTTATGGAAAACATATAAGATACCTAATGCTCAGTTCGTCGTATTGAGCAAGGTGAGATATCCATCTGATGTGACTGTCCTGGCTTTACCATCCTTGTCGTGAAACCAGAACGGGTCGACCAAGCCCCTGTAGCTTAAAGCTTTTAAGAAGTGAATTTTTGTGTTTTATCCAAATCTGGTTGAATATTTTTTAAAATTTGATATTTATCGAAACCGTTGATGGATTTGTTTCATATTCACAAACTTGATGTTTTCGTTATAGGATTGTATTTGTTCGAAGTTTTGTTAAAATCAGTTCACTGACCATAGAGTTATTGTCTTTTGTTTAGATCCACTTTTTATAGACACCGTGTAGGCCTATGTTGACTTTTCTAAAAAAACGTATACTTACTCCCTTCTCTTGTACTTCTCAACTTACCTTGTCCATAAAGCCCCAAACTGTTGCCTTCAAATCGAATCTCAATTAACTTTTTTCCCCATGTTCTCAGACGTAGACGTGGTTTAAAAGAAAGCCCCCCCCCCCCCTAAATAAAAAAAAAAAAGCAACAACAACAACAACAATCGACAAACGAGGCAACACTTTTCTCATAGGAATCCGCACTGAACTCCCGCATCATTTCAAAGTATTCGAGTATTTTCAAAGCATGTTCTTGAACCAAGCATTGTGCCTTTGACAACAAGTAATGAAAATCATTGCACGTTATACATTCACCTTATACAAATGCTATTTCTTGTTGTTTGTTGTTGTTGTTGTTGTTGTTGCTGTTGCTATTGTTGTTGTTGTTGTCGTTGTTGTTGTTGTTGTTGTTATTCTTTTTTCTTCTTCTTCTTCTTCTTCTTCTTCTTCTTCTTCTTCTTCTTCTTCTTCTTCTCATTATGATAATTATTATCAAAATAGAAGCAACGAAAACATTTCTGAATTTCACAATATACCAGTCTTTTTTCGAATGTAATTCTTTGAATATCTTGAAAACGACTCTGAATATTCTTGCAATGTTTATAAAGCCGATAGAGCTTTTGCTTTCTGACCTCAGGGTGAAAGGGAGATGCAGTGTTTCACCCGGAAAGAGAAGCGGCCCAGAACCGTGCAAGGCTGCGAGTTCAAAGCGCCCCCTAGCGTCTTCTACCACACGCGGCCCAGGTGGAGCGCGACCCCGGACTGGGCAGGTCGCCCAAGCGCCCCGGACGCTGTTCCTCTACGACCCTATGTGAACAGAGTAGGTGGACAGTGACACCGCACTTACTTACTTACTTTACTTTATCTTTCTTCTTTTTCCTCTACTAGAGTCTAGGGAATCGAGGAGAGAAAGGTCTTTCTGTCTTTTTCAAGCTGGATGGCCTGGTTGGGTGGAATGTTGTGTGTTTTCAGGGTATCCTTCACACCCCCTACCCAGGTCCTCCTTGGTCTTTCTTTTGCATTGTACCCTGCTATCTGTTCTTGTAGTGTTGGTAGTACGCTTTATTTGTAAGCTGGTGAGGTGCCATTGATGTCAGATGTCCAAACCACCTGGTAATTTGCCTTTGAATGAAGTGGAGGACACGTGTTGTTCCCATCGTTGTTCTGATCCTATTGTTTCTGATAATGTCCCATCTGGTTTTGTTGACGGCTCCACCTTAGACATCTCATCTCGCAGGGGGTTATTTCACGTTCCAGACTTTTGGTCAAGGTTCATGTTTGGCATTGGTAGGTCAGAGTGGGAATGAAGATAGAGTTAATGAGTTTGACTTTGGTCTCAGTGGGAATATTAGGATGTTTGGGGAGTGGGGAAAGCTGGTAGCTGGCGCTGTTTGTCATTTGTACTCTCGTCTCAATTTCTCTGTTGAGACGTGCGTCACACGAGAAGATATTGCCTAGATACTTGAACTCGCTGACACAATTACTCTATTTTGCTCTTACTTTTTCATCCTCTGCTGCCGCTGAGCGTCCGGGGCCGGAGGGAGGGAGGGGGGGGGGGTTAAGGAAGGAAAAGGTTTGGGTGGGAAAGAAGTTTTTTTTAAGGCAGGCCAACCTTCAGCTCTATCAGTGTAGATGTGTTGTAGTTTCACAGGGTTTTTAAAAACTCTTTTTATCCATCTTTCGCAAATTCTTACTTAATAGTATAGCCTGAGTGCTTGGTGTTTTTAGTTACAGGCTCTCGAGGCTGGGTGATTGTATGACATTCTTAACAGGTGTCCAGATCATTTTATTCTCTACTTTTCTATGGAAAGCAGGCCTGACTTTGTGAAAATTGTTGCCATTACATCTTCATATTTCAGCCCGTTTTTACTTGTGTTGTAATTTAGTGTTTTGAAGAAACATTTTATCTCGCATGCATTAGTTTTTCTATCATGGATTTTACTTAATTATAAGGTCTGGCACTGGTAACATAATGACACCGTTATCCAAGTTAAATGAATTGTGCACAATACGTTCCCTCACTCTTTCTTTCTCTCTCTCTCTCTCTCTCTCTCTCTCTCTCTCTCTCTCTCTTTCTTTGTGTGAGTGTGTGTGTGTGTGTGTGTGTG